ATATCGGTAAATTCTAAAGAAAATGCAAAAACTACAAAAATAAATATTTAACATGAAATTCAAGCTATTACATGCATTGCTCTAAGTGAATGTAATTGTATTTGTAAGAGTATATTTTAGTTTTCTTCTTATTATTATTCATCTTTTACTACGTACATATGCACTTTATCTTTAAGTGTATCTACAAAATAAAGTTGGAAGAAAAAGCATAAACCAAAACCATTTGTTTATTTATTGAAAGTCTCGCTTTAGAGTACGAAGTCTAAATAAGAAAACGAATGGCTGGATGCTGGTTGTATGTATATTGTTGTTGTTATTGTGTTTTTGTTGATATTGTAAGCTCAAGCTAAGATACTTACATACAAACCAACAAATATACATACATACATATGTAAAATAACATTGGAATGTTGTTATACCACAATATTACAACTACTACTACACTGACACACACTCTCATGTTTGCAACAACATCTATTTGTGAACAACACGAAGAAAAAATAATAATAAAAATAAAAATGCATTTTAAAATTGAATTTAAAAAAAAATAGAAAAATCAAGACAAACAAATCTACTGGCGCGTGCCTCTGTAGTAGTGGTACATAGAAGAAGAGGAAAAAAGCCAAAAGAAAAATCAAATCTTACAAATAGTACATTTTGTATCTATGTTTGTATGCACGATTGCACGTACATATACATACTCATACAAACTCACTCGTCTCTAAGTAAATAACTTTTTTTCGTTTCAGTTTTAATGTATTGGTGTGAAACATTTAATTAGTGTAGATTTCCTAATGAATTCAATTTTTTTGGAAACAAATTTTTTATACATTGGAATCATCTTAACTTCTATAACATTAAATAACAACAAGAGAAGATTTTTAAAATTGTAATGTATACATTTAAGCCAATTTAAGATTAAATTAAATTTCGTCGAATATTAGACAATAAAAGCATAATGAAATCGTTCGTGGTAAATGATGAACATGAATAAAAGCCTAAAGCTAAATAATTATTATCGTACAAAATACTTTTCTAAAATCCAACATAAACTTAAACAGATTTATACATTAATATGGACAAGAAAAAACACTAAAAAACAAATTTGAAAGCGTTTAAATTAATTAAGAGTTAAACGAAACAACAGCAATAACAAAATATTATTTGTTTGTATAAATATTTAAACAAAACCAGTTTTCTCTTTTTCTACCAAGAAAACACTAATCAAATTTGTTAATTATAGATTTCAAAATTTTTATTTATGACGAGTAGTATTCAACCATCTATCTATCTGCATATTTACATACGTATGTATGTAAGTACATATGTATGTATATGTCTTAACATTTGCTTCTTCCCTGAATATTTGCTTAAGCAAGAAGATAAAGACGAAAACTCCTTGATTTAACTTCGATTCCATAATTTCCTGAGGGGTTTGAATTATTCGGTTACACGTGTTTTACAGTTCATTTCATATGGTCTATGTTTAGTTTATTTTGCATAAAAAATTGTACAAATGTAAATAAAATACATGTTGTTTGTCTATTATAGATACAATTCAGTTATCCAGGTACACATCCGTTAAAGATAACAAAACATATAGAGAACAACAAAATTAAAGAAAAACAAATTTTAATTTATTTATTTTATAATCTTTAAGCAATCAACCATCGACGTACACACATACAAGTATGTAGTACATTCTTACATACAATATCAATAGAGAGTTAAATTTAAATATTAAAAAAAGTTCAACTTTAATAAAATTATTATCTTTGTTTATTTAAAATACACATACACTTAAACACACAAATTTAAAATAAATAAAAAACGAGGCTAATATTTCAATATTTGCATATTTTCTTGCTAATTTTTGTTCAACTTAAAAGTACTTTTTATATTATTGTGCGATCATGCTGTACTTAAAGTTCCACGAATATTTGCCTCAGTGCTGTCTATATGTATAATAATTTATTACAGTTATCAAAGGGTTTTAATTTCCCCCTATAAAATTTGTTTTATAAACTTATAATGAATAAGCTTTAAGGGTTTCTGGAGAAGGGGAGATCATTAGACAAGAATTCCAATGAAATTCTATTGATCGGGTTCTGGGAATGTCCGTATAAAATTTTGATAAAAGTTAGTTTTTAAATTTAGACTTCAACTGTTGTTGTCTTGGTATTTAAATAGTTTTCGAACAAACATTTCTATTGTAGTTAAATAAATGTTTACTTATAAATAAATAAACATATTTACTTCAGAGATGGACATTTAAGTATTATTGTATATATGACTAACAAGAAAATACATTAATTTTACGTACTTTGATCAGTAATTATAAGCATTTCAAACAATTTATGAACAATTTTAAAATTAGTAATCTATCCAAATTAAAAACTTTATTGTTCCGATTATACTCACAGAAGTTTCGTTACTCTCGACTTTGCAGACTTTAAGCTTTAAAACGTATCTCTAACAATTAAGAATACCATTTCAAAATCTATTTTCCGACCCTGATGTATGTACAACATATAAATACATATGTATATATACATATGTACATATCTATATGTTCAATATAATCAATATTTTTATATGATATATGCAAATAAAATTGGTTAACATCACGAGATTTTTTTATATCAAAACGAATTGGAAGATCAAATTGTAAGGTAAGATTGTATAAGTTATTTAGACATTGTAAAATGTATTTTTGTTAAAGGATCGTATGAAAAATGAGATGCGAAGTTTGTTTTTAATAAATATATGTATATTAATAGATCTTTATTAAAATTGAAATTGTATGATACAAATGCTTTTAAGAATATTATTACACTTCTTATTTGGTATTACCAATGATTTGGGTTAAATAATTCAGACGTTTTCTTGGTTTATTTAATTTTCTTAGTATTTTATCTTAAATTAAACAAATAAAATAATTAACATTGGGGTGTTGAAAATGTCTGACAAATTCCTAAATAATTTTAATGAATTTTTGCGTCTAAAACTCATCAAAATGTTTGAGTTAGAATATACATCTACATACAAGTATAACAACATATACTGTGACTTGTTCTTAATCATTTTTAAAGTCTTAAGTGGTATTTACTGTTTTTTATCATTGTTTTTGAAAAAAAATCAAAAAAAAAAAGAACAAAGTATGTTAAAGTTAAAAGTGTTGTATTATTTTATGGGTATTTTGAAGGTAAGAGCCAAACCAAACAAAACAAATAAGTTTTGTAATTAAAATACAAGTACAAAATGAACTTGTAAGTAAAATAATAAATAAAGACAATTGTTGTAACACACTACTTGCTCAAACGCAGTAGAAGTTTGCTCGTACGCATACGTTTTCTAAAGATAAGATAAAGTGCATTATTTAGTTCAATTTAATTCCAAAAATAAAAAAAGAACAGTTAACCAAGACCACAACTCTTATGAAGTTTAGACAAAAATTGAGAACAGTCAATAAATAAAAACACATACATACTAACTACGACATATGTATTTAATTTTTCACCTTAAACTAGTGGAAATCAGAAGAAATCAAAAATTATTACAAAAAAATATCATTCTTTTTAAAAACAAACAAAAACGTAGCAATTCTTATAGATAGCGAACGAGTGATGCAATGTCTAAACCCCAATACGTTCGACTAAAATTACGAGTACTTCAAAAAGTAAACAAAGGGAACAGCAACAACAAACACCAAACGAAACTAAAGATATGCTGACAATTAATCTTTTACTTACTACTAAATACTACATACATACATATCAGCAGGTAGAAATTTCCAAAAAAGAACAATATTTGTTGATTTATTTTTCGTTTCGAATAAAATTTGTATTAATCTTTTATTTTTAAAAAAATATTAAACAAAGATAAATCGTTGTTTTTCGTGAAGGCAACCCATACAAATGCATGTATTGTGTGTTTTTAAATTCACATTAAATATTAAACATTTTAACATTAATTGTGATTTATAAATTCCAAAAATGAGTGATGATATGTTTACACCGACTTTGCAGACATATCATATTTATATATCTCATATAAAATGTCTGACTTGTCTTGATCAAATATTAAAATGAAACAGTTGTTTTATTGTGCATAGAATATGTATATTACAATTGATTTGCTATAATTTTATAATATCTTATTAAAAATTGTCCAGCTTTAGCTTCCATTCGTTCTTAATATTTTCTTGTGTTACAAATGAAATGAAGAAATTAATTTTGCATACTACATTTAGCAAAGAATTAAAAATTTCAAATGTATTTAATTGTTTTACACTTGTAAATGTTTTCATTTAATTAGCACATTTCAAATTGACACCGCATATACTTATTACTTGTTTTTGTTTTCTTTATAAATTTAACATTTTCAACGAACTCGAACAAATTTCTTGTTAATTCTTCAATCAATCACTCAATACATTGTCTGAACTCTTTCCATGCAAAAACGATTGAAAAAAATAATAATAATAAAACAGAAAAAACCAAAACTATTCTAAATACAAGTGGGAATGTTTGTATGTAAAGTCCATAAAATACTTAAAGCAAAAACCAATATCGCATCAGTTGGCGATACGATTTAGTATTAATATCACGTCTTAACAAGAGTGAACTATGGGACGTGTAATGGCGCACACAAACACAAACTCATTTGTAATCGCAATCACAAATACAAATTCAAATCAAATGATGGTGATTGTGATTTACTAGTCAAACTCGAACGTACCTATGTATCTATGTAAATATTTTAATTTTCAGTAGTTCAGCTCAAGCATGGCTCAAGCAACAAAGAAAACTTTAAACACATATGAACATATCTATAAGAAGTTTTAGCAAAGTTGCTATTGTTTGTGTGCAATTATACCTGGTTCAATCAACTAATTAATTCATTTCAAATCTGCATTTTATGCATTTAAGAGAAATACAAATTTAATGATAAATGGAGATAAGTAACAACAAAGTGTTCAAAACTAAAACTAAACTTACTTTTGCCCTTAACAAATTCTGTGTGTTGATCCTCTATGTGATGGTGGGTATTGGGTTGGACGGCTAATGAGGAGAGTAAATGTTGTGACGAGGAGGTACGTTGGCGATGGGTTGATTGTGTTTTTTGGTTGTTGTTATTACGTTTACGTTGCCCTCTATCCTCTGTATTGGCTCCGTTGTTGTGATTGTTGCTGTTGCGGCCATTGCGTATACGTTCTGCTTGAAGGGAACTGAAATTGTGCGTGAGTACGATCAGTAGGAGTAGTGAAGCTCCAAACCAATTGAATCCTTTCATTGTCAAAACTAAGGCTAACAGTTTAATAACACCAACGTCATTATATATTTCAAGTTTAACGTATTTGCGCGACTAACTAAACGTGTAAGCGAACAAGCGAGAAAGTGTGTGTATGTGAGTTGTAAGCAATAAACTCGTACTAGAAACAGACGACACTTCTTTTGAGATTTTCGTGTTTAAATTTGCAAATTTTCCTTAATGCAAAGAATCTTACGTCATTTGTATGTTAATTTTGCACTTTTTGAATCTTTTCTATTCCTTTTTTCTATTTTTTCTTAAACTCTATTCATATTTGTATTTTTCTTTTTTTACTTGCATTTAAATGATCGTAAAATTTTGATTTTGTTTGGTAAAACTGTTTTATTTTATTTGTTTGTGATTTTTCATATAGTGATTTCCAGCCAAACTAGTTATTTTAATTTTTGTTACGATTTTGTTGGTGTTGTTGTTATTTTGTTTTACTGTTTATTTAAATATTTTTTGCCACATTCTTAAAACACTCATTCGCAATATTAAAATCGTATTGATTTTAATTGTTATTTAATTATACATATGTAAGTATGTGTGTTATTTAATATTTTTATTCCTAATAAATTTTGTTTATTTCTTTTTTCATTTTAATATTGTTTAATGGTTTCTCTAAATATGTTTTTTTTTAAGAATTCCACTAAAGGCCGTTAATAATCCGTGCATGTATTTTATTTCTTTCCATACGAAGTGCGCTTTAAAACGTTGAATACGAAACTAAAGTTTATCTTAAAAATACAAAAGTAACTACCAACGCTATTTTCGAACCGTATATACAAATACACGAAAAACAAAATATTCATACAGACAGACAGACCAACTAGCTGACTGACTTGACTCTCTTTAGATATTTGACTCTCTTTCGTATTGTATTGTGTTTTGGTTTTGTCTACCACTCACTACATTTTAACCACCTTTTGAATAAAATGTGTTGCACATCATTGTTGTTAGTAAGCGCAACTCTGGTCTGTATTGAGTTTGCGCCCAGGTATTTCCAGGTAGTCTTGTTCATATCTCTTGTATTTTTAGAAACTACAGAATAAGTAAAATCTCTTCAGTTTATAAATAATAAAAACAGGTCGGAGAGTATATTTTTTCTCTCACCTGTTGTTGAAATTTATCTGGATTTGTTGAGATAAATTTTCTTAAATTTTATAATAAACGTGGGTTTTGTTTGTTTTAATATTTAATGTTGTTGTTTTTTTTGTTGACTAGCAAAAATCTTTAGATGAATAGAAAAACTGTAAATTTGATAAGCTACAATGAATTTTGATCTAAATTGTACAATTTCAATATCAAATATTATATTATTGAGGTTTGGAACGATTAGTATCCATTACAATTTTATGTTAATATAATTTGTAGCAATTTTCGGGATCGATTTTCAAAATTGAAGATCAGAAAAAGCTAGCATTTGTAAAATATGTAATATCAAAGAAATCGTAATTAAAAATTTTGCATATAAATCTGAATCGACTGGGTCGCTACATAAAGTACCAACACCAATTTATATTCACGGGTATTTTAAGTTAACATATCCCACTAGGCCTTAGAGTTGAAAAAGATTGAATTCGTCTACGGAGGGATTCTAACAAATTTCAAAAGGATGGATCGATTATAACCTTAAAATTCAATATCCGTGAAGTAAATAAACTGTAATTGATCAAAGAATCTATATGTATGTATCATCTTCATGGCAACCTGAGAAAGGAAAACTATTTAAGTAATTATGGCTTATATGAAATAACTTAAATAATACACTAATTACTTAAAAATGGCGGCGGAACTATTCGGAAATTTTATTTTAATTACTAAAATCCCCTTTTCATTTATAATTAATAAACTTGATAAAAACCATAAATTTATAGCTGATGTACGAATGAATATTATTTTTTATCAATTCGATTTGGTCAAAATTTAGTTTTAGCTATATGTATATTAATTTTTTCTTTAGTACAGACAAACTCAATAAGCTCAAAGAAGTAATTAACACCGTAACATTAAGTCAAGAACTTATAAATTAGCAAAGTATGTAGATATAGTATAAAAAATTAACAGGAATTAAATATATTTATTATTAAAAAGCTTACAGCTGGGCAAGAAAGCTCGATAAAATATAATACATGAAATATAAAATATTAAGTAAGTAGTAATCGATATAAGCAAACATTTCACATTTTAGACATTGTTGTTCAGAAATTTCAGATGCATTTAAATTTCCATTATTTTTAAGAGCTTTCATTTAGATATATTATAATTATGTAATTCGATATTTTTTAATTTCAAAATTTAAAAAAAAAAGTATATAAATTTTAGAATATCTCATAAAAAGGAAAATTTTTAAAACAAATTAAACGATCTGTGCAAATCGATCGTGTAAATGCATACTATGTAAGTACATATATACGAGTTATTTGAATTCGAAACAAAAATTTCAATAAATGAAAGTCATATCAATTCGCATATGAACATGTACTTGTAAAACTTTTTAAGTTTTTGTTGTTAAGAGTTTCAATTGTTGGTTTGTTGGTTGATTGTATGTATTTGTTTACAAAACCATTAAAAAGTCACACTTAAAATCTGATGGTTTTTTCTTCTTCTTGGAAACTTAAAGCTACGAAAAACAAAACCAAGAAACTCTTAGTGTATATGGTTGAGTATCTGTGAGTGAGTGAATGGGGTTTATTAACATTTCAGCCTGTTCGTTAGTATGTATGTATGATGTCGTTGTATGTTTTGTATGACGTTTTCTGTTTGTTTTTATTTCTCGCATGCATGTACTGAAGTATGTATGAAGTGTTTATTTTACAATATTTATATGTTTTTGTTGTTTTGTTTTAAGTGTATTTTTATTATTTTTTTTTTTTTCATCAGAAAACAACAACGTATGCCAAAAATCAACAAATAGTTGTTAAAACATGAAACCGGCTTGCTAAAATTGAAATACATTTGTACGCATGCGCATTAGAGCTTTTATTTTAACACCACCATCGTCGTCGTCGTCGCCGCCGCCACTCACTCCAGATGACAAAAAGACCGACAGACAACCAAACAAAAACGAAAACAATCGTTAACAAATAAAATAACTTCAAAAATACAAAACGAACAGAATTGAAAGAAGAGCGAACGAACAGTTTTCGAAACGATTTGTTTAATTCAACGGAAAAAAATTGTCAACACACGAGTTTAAGGCAAGAGGGAAATAATTTTTAAATTCTGTTTAAAAATTTGTCACAATTAGTTTTAATTGTTAAGCGGATTTAAGAGGTTTTATTTAATATGTATTTACATTCGCTTTTGATTTCAATTTCAGTTTTTAACTTGAACAATCTTGAATAAGTATTCGTCTGATTTTTTATCAACAGGTTTTTAATATTTGTGTGCGTGTGCTTTACACGTATCGGGCATGTGTTTTCTAAGGTCATTAAAGGGTTTGTATTTGCTGATGATTCGTCTTAAACTATGCGACAAGAACTATGTACTTAAACCCATTAGAGGAATCGTTTATAAGCCCTTTATAAGCTTACATAGCACGTGTACTCTCAGTTAAAAGTTCTGAATGATAGAATTTTTTCAAAATACAATTTGAAATTTTCTCTTAATCAATAGCCAAAACGAACTTTCTTATGGAAAATTCATTTTCTAAAGTTGTTCGATGGGGGCGATTTTTTTTTTGCACTAGGGGACTTGAAATATTTAAAAAGTTTATTTTAATAATATTTGACGTTGGTCATTTTTCACATTTCGAAATCCAGCATATCGATGATGATGATGATTACAATTTCTATTAATGTTCGTTTAATATTTAAGATTAAATTTTTTGAAGGCGTAACAATAGATAGTTTTACAAAAAGAAAATGGACAAAATTTCTTTTGTGAAGTTCAAGTGGTTGTTGGATTTAATAACAATAGATGATGTACTCGAACAAGCCAACCACTTGAGTTTCACGCCATACACAGCGGGATACAAGTACAAGCAGCAACAGCAGCAAAAGTATCTGTAGCAACAGGCAAAGAGCAAACTAAGTGTATATAATACAAAATCAATGTTGGAAGAAATATTTTTTAAGAATACTATAGAGGAGTATGAATTTTTGGCATTGACTTTTGTCTTTAACCGATGAGCGCTAAGACTAAAAGCGATAACATTTGTTTGTGTTATTAGTATTGTTGATGTTGTTGCTGTTGCATTGCTCTTTTGTTTTCAAGTGTTGTACATTTTAGTTACGCCGATGTTCATTATACGATCAGCTCAAGCAGATGCGCCAAAGGATTCTTGAGATATTGTATTTGTTTGTTCTCTCTTCGTGCTGATGCTATTGTTGTTGTTTTGTATAAGTTCACAAGTACAAAACCATTAGACATCGTAGTATTATCATTTTCATTTGTTCTTTCTTGGGAATTCCAAAAATGATCAGGTTTAAATGTTTTTGTTTTTTTTTCATATTTGTTGTTCTTGTTACCTGCTTGTTTTGCTTGTACTTTTAAGAATTTTGTTTCGAAGTATGGATGGATGACAGACAACCTGTATGTATTGTAGCAACAATGCTGCTGAAATGGACTGAGATGGGACGAACCCATATTTCGTTCTGTGGACAGGTGAGGTAGGTGAGGTTGTAGTTTTAAAAGAAATTTGAGATTTTTCAAGAAAGATTTACAAAAAGGATAAAAGTTTAATCATTATTTTTAGTTATTCGAGAGCCTATACAGATTTATGACAATGAGGTACTTGACATTATTTTTTATATTCGCATTCAATATGCACACACATACATGCATATGCTGTTTTTTGTTTATGGCTTTTGTATTAGTTAATAGTTAAATAATTAATTTTCAAGTAACAAACTAAATCGAATTTATGAAGAAATTCTTGCCATTACATTAAGGACAAAAAGCAAATTTAATATTTACAATAAATCCTTGTAATACATAACAACAACTGTGTAAGAAACCAAACCAAAAGTCAAAAGGCATTTCGTTAGCAATTCTAAATACAGGTTACAATACAATTTAAATGGACTTTAGGCTGTATTTAAATAGAGAGACATTTTTTTAATTTATGTTGCATCACCAAGTGGAATTATGTAGTTAATTGCAACATCTCTAGATTATATAGATTATAAAGTTTTATTAGAAATTATTTTTAAATCCAACAGTTATTAAAAGCTCTCAAAATATTCGAAAGTTAACATCAACAAAATTTTAGAATGTAAATAAATACATACATACATATGTATGTATTTATTTTTTAGCTTTCTATATGATCACTATCATTAAGCTTAAGTTCGATTTGCTTTTGGACTTCATCTTCATTATTCGTTATCATCATAATAAATGATCATTGAGATGAATTTCAGAAGAAGATTAAGTTGCTTGTAAAATACCAAGAATCCATCCATATTGCTGAAAAATGCCGCTTACTTTTTAGTTTTGTATTTTTTTGTTTATTTTTTGTGTTTTTTCTCGAGTTTACATTTAAACGTTACATAAAGTTCAGCTCAGAGTTGTTGTAAATTATAAACTCTTTTCTTTTTATTTGTGTTCATGAAAAAACACAACAACAACATCATCGTAAGTATAAAATAAAAAGAGTTATTGCACGTTATTATCACGAAGTAGATGAGTGTAATGATCATTACGGTGATGTTGACGATCATAACGTTGGCAATCCTTTGTAAGTTAAAGTAAATCTTCCAAGTAAATACTTGTTTGTATGAGTGTGTAGATTTACCCTGCAGTTCGGAAAAAGTCAATGCGTACGAAAAAAGACAGTAATTTCCTCTAAAGTCTAAGCACCTT